ACTAAGAGGAGCCGCCTTCAGCGGAGGCGGGTTGGTTGACTTCCCCGGTGGTGGTCGCGGCGGCCGGGGACGGGTCTCCCACTTCGGAGTTGACATCATTGTCACCCCAAAACTCCACCGCATCCCAAACCGCATTTCGATCCCACAACACGTACGGGTGATCGCGGCGGAACAGGTGACGGATAGAAGCTACCGTATCTCTCAGTAACTTCTGGTACTTGGCTTCGTCCACCGCCTTGAACTCGTCCGATTCAAAGAAGGTTGCACGAGCATCCTCCCTAGCCTCGTTAAGCTCGCGTTCCCGCCGCGCCTCCAAGTCAGCTACCCGAGCCTCCAACTCTCCGACCTTGATCTGCAATCCCTTTTCTCGCTCGGCCGCCTCCCACGCCTTCTGTTGTGCCTCCTCCAGCTCCCGGGCAGACTTCGACAAATCCTCTCTGGCGGTTTTCAGCTCATCGTCCTTCGCCTTTACGGCCGCCTCCTGCTCCTTGAGGATCTCGTCTCGCAGCTCCCGGCGGAAGCCTTCGCGCCTTTCCTTCACCTGCTCCTCGAGCGTGAGGATTTTGGTCTCACGCTCGCCCAAGTCATCGAGCAGGCGCTCGTTGGCCAGGATAAGTTGGCTTATCCCAAACTGGGCCTGCGCCCGCTAAGCCGGTCAACACTTCATGCATATCAAATATCAGAATTGAAAATAAGTTAAGTCACTCACCGCAAAGAAGCATCGGGCGGTCGTTCCGGCCAGATGACGAGTGTCGGAGGTTGTGTGGATGGCGCCCGTCACACGCATGTACTCGCTTGGAACGGCGAATCCCTCGGCAATGGCATGGAGCGCGCGGCGAGCTGGCTCAGCCGAAGAAGTCACATGCGGGGAGTACGTCGCGCAGGAACTCAGGGTGGTGGTCTTCTGCTTCTTCTGATTAGCCGGCGGCTCGGAGCGCTGGTCAACAAGGATCCCTTTAAGTTTTGGCTGAGTCCCCGCGGACGGCTCATCCTGGACTTCCACCACCTCTAGTGGCCGCTTGCTCGCAGAGCGGGCCGCTCCCTGACCGCCAGGCACGGTCAGTTTAAGGGTCCCGGTGCGTCCCAACGCCAGTTGAGACTGGGTCGAACCGCCTCCGGTTCGTGGGCCCTCTGATGCAGTGGGACCGGAGATAACAGCCGCGGGAGACCCGCTCGTCGCCACCTTAGGCGGCCTCGCCGAGGACGCATAACGCCGGATACCTGTAAAATGAATACATAAGTAAAGGCATGAGCAAGCTACATCCCATCAAAGTCTAGGAGAACTAACTAACCGTGAAAGCGCTGCACAATCTCAAGAGCGTTATCATGCCCATGCAGGGGCAACCGAAACTGGACAGTTGAAATGATGCGGTCGAGATGCGGCCTCAGATGCTGCAGCCGCTTAACCCCTTCGTCCTAGTCCTCTGTCCGCGCGAAGGAGAATGCGGTCAATGGCTCCACGTTTCCCGAATACCATTTCCCAGTCAGACGAGCAAAGAAGTACTCGCTATACCACGGGGAATCCAGCTTCGGGGATCCATAAACGAATCCAACATTCTTTGACCGCCTTCGGGGGGACCAGCAGTTCTTCGAGCCGGTCATGGCGTACAGCAGCCGAAAGGCGTCAAGGGATGGCTTCTCCTTTAAGCGGTCGCAAGCCGCGCGATAGCAGAGAGAGTGGAAAACTATGGAGGGAGAAAGGCGGCTCAAGGAGCAGTTAAGATTCAGGAGCACCCCGGTGAGAAGCGGGTCCATCGGGAACTCCAATCCTAGACGCATGTGCTCCGTGAAGATGGTGATCCTTCCGACGGGGCAAGAACCGCAGCGACCGTCCGGGGAAGGAGCCGCGTACTCCCACTCAGTAGGAAGCTGGTGCCTATGCAGCTGGCGGAGCACTTGGGTAGGAGTGTAAGCGGGTTTGTACTTTGGACCGTACCAATAAACCGCATCGGGAACCTCGCTCCCCTCCCACATATCCGCATGCAGCCGCACGTGGTACTCACTATCAGCAACCGCCGGAAACGGATGAATCACCGGCGTTTCTGACAGCGCTAGTGAAGGAGAATCCGCGACCGAGTCCTCTCTGTCCGAGTCGCGAGGCGTGTCTTCCGGCACGTTCTCCGAGGACAGCTCCACCAGGTTGTCCCCAACCCGGGAAGTCGCGCCGCGGTCAACCAAAGAGGTAGCCGTGTCGGTTAGCACGCCCACTCCTAACCCTAAAATACAACCGTCAGGTCTATCTACACGCTCACCCGCGACAACCGCATTACCACCCCCACACAGCAATTCAATACCCTCTGAGTCCCATTCTATGTCGGATAAACTTAAAGAGTGGGAGAAAGCGGGCATACCTGCTCCAGGGGCAGGACCGCCGACGCTGGCGGTCTTAGCGGATGCGCGTACGGTACCAGCGCCGACTCGAGGAGCGGCGACGTTACCGGCGGCAGTGGCCGCCGCCGTGTCAGACGCGGTGGTCGTCGCGGCAGCGGAAGGAGTGTTGGTAGCAACGTCGGAGGCAGACGGAGGTGCTGAGTCACCGGAAAGGCCGCGGTTCTGACTATCAGAGGGAGTAGTTGCTTGGGAAACCATCGCGAACAACTGTTTCTTCTTGTTCTTCTTGTCTCGTTTCTGGGATCTTCTCAGGGAAGATAGAAATCGGTGTCGTTCCACAGGGATGGAAGGATGAGTCTCCAGATAACGAGAGAGGGAGAACTTGGAGCACCGCGCAATTTTGAAATAGGGAGCAAGAAATGAGAGAATGCAAAAGTTTCTTCTCGACAGAAACACTTGAGGTATATATAGCGGCAAAAGAGACTGATGTGACGGTTGAGTGCCCGAGGGAAGGCTTTAGGCCGCAAAATTCAAAAAGCGGGCAGGTGAAAGGACATATCTGCCTGCCCGGTGTCAGAGCACGGTAACCAATGCACGGCCACGTGTATAAAGTGTTTTCACCAGGAAAACTCGTAAGGCGGTCAGAGCGCTGCTTAGGCAGGAGCAACCCTAGGTCTCTGGCGACCAGGGGCAGAACAGGACAAGGAGGAGGAGCGAACCGCTCAACTAAGCTAAGAGCATTACAGGTAGCCGCCAAAACCCTAGGCTTTTCCCGCCTAAGGGGCAATTGTTGGGCCGCATAGTTGAGCGTGTTTGGGCCTCGGGCCCAGAAGAAGCGAGTCGGAGTTTAAGGCCCAATAAGGAATCCAGGCCCGATCGGAAGACCGGGTCAGCAGGCGGTCCAGGGTCGACTGTGATCCGAGAAAGAAGATAAGGGCGCCTGACATAAAGCGACTGAGCAGCGCAGAGGGGCAGAGAGCCGTTGAAGATGCGTATCTGGTGTCAGGCAAGACTGAGCATTTATTGCCAGTCGCAGGCGGCCTGCAGAAAGGCTGAAAGCCTGCCCAGGACGCGTGACAGTTCCTGAAAAGCCTGAAGGGGCGCCCGACCAGGTCTGGGGCGCCCGACACAGCATTTAATGCCTCAACCACCCTTAAATCAGGTATAAATAGAGGGTGAGTGCATTAATGGTGAGGCCAACTACTATTCATCTCTCTACATAAATTCTCGTCTTCTCACTTCTCTCTCTAACTTGAGCTTCGGAGAGTGTCCCGGGTGAACCGCCCCGGACCTTTGTTTTGCAGAGTATCTGGAGTGATCCCCAACACCCGAGACCAGGCACCTTGTCCCAGCTCCACAAACCGCCTAGTATCTACTAGGCACAAACAGAAGGCAATGCATTGGATGAAAGATTGAATATCTTTAAGGCTTCAAACAAAAGGCTCGAAGTTGCTACGAAGGTTTTTCTGGCGGCTTGCTTGTGCTCGAAGTCTGCCAGAAAAACGGCCTTCGTAGCAACTTCGATCCTTTTGTTTGAAGCCTTACAGATATCCAATATTTCATCCAATGCCTTGAATTTGTATAAAAACATAGCTAATTTAACGTGGTAGACGCTCCTGGACTCGACTCGCATTCATGCTTCTCGAATTGAGCTCCAAAATAGGCTTCACAAACACGTTTCCAGACTTAGCCATTTCCCGGCAGTTTCCCAGTTTTGGCATAGCCTTTTGATGAGGTTCAAAAATGGTCTTCTGGACTTCCTATTGAGCTCTCTTCCACTTCAATATGTAGAGGGACACTCCAGCTTCAAAACAAGTCATTAGTCTTCAATTTCCATCTATCCAATTGTATGATATGAATATCCAAAGTAGGCACCATGAACTGTTTTTACACTGAAACAACAAATTAGGTCGACCTGATCCTATATGAGGTCGACTTAATCCTAAATGAGGTCGACCAGACCCTATTCGAGGTCGACCGAATTCTAAATGAGGTCAACCTAATCCTAACTGAGGTCGACCGGAAAGTGCAAGTCACCGTGACATTCATGTCACCGTAGGCACACCCTAAATTTATCATTGGGCTTTGTATTATTGTATGGGCCGTTAAAAAATGGTAATGAGTTATGCATATTTCCGTTGGCAATTAAGGGCTGGTGAAAAATGTGCAAGGACTCGGTAGATATTATTTTGGAGGTTAAAATACACCACTCTTTTATATTATTTTCTGGTATTGTTCGGTATTTTGGTATTTATCGATCCCAATTTCGTAATCTCTAATACCGAATTACAGTTGGAATTCAATCTCAATCCTAAGAAAAAATTCGTGTATTCAGTGATACCAAATATCGATAAATTCGGTATATACCAAATAACGATACCAAACTTCCAGTCCTATTCCTAACTATGCCCTACATCTCTATCAAAGAAGAAAGGTTTAGCCTTTGATGGATATTCTTGGTTTAGAACTCATTAGAACTAAGGAAAGGGAATAATAGAGGGAAGAAGAAGAGGATGGGGAGCAAGCCACATGCACCAAAATGACAAATGGAATGAAAAAAAAAAAAAAAAAAAAAAAAAAAAAAAAAATCAGAACTTGGAAGATTTGAATGGATAGAGACCCGACCCACCTTCCCCGTCCAAACAGATAACCAACATTGCCCCAATTAAACAACCCCATCGTCTTTAATATAACAACACCTACGAGCTTCCCTTCAACTCCATTCTCAGCATTGAATGTGTGTCCTTCTTCACCATGAATGAACGTGGCCTCTGTCAGCCTACTATTCCCCAGTTCTCTGTACTTCCTCTCCTAGCCAATCCATCGATGTTTGATGGAGAGGTATCACATCATGCTCTTTCGATCCCACAATGACAACTGGAAGACTGCTGAGTGTTCGATCTGGCGGATGCTGGGCGTTCATTTGAGCACGTTCTCGCAAACGCCCTGTGAGCTTCATATATAGATTGTACTAGTACGATTGTGTGACTGAATAACTCGCTCAGATGATCAAGTTGTCAAGCATTCGTCGGAGTAGCCATACAACGTAGGTTAAACCAATGTTCGTGAAACCGTGTTTGCAGTTCAACAGTAAAAGCATCCTGCTGGAGACTAAACCGGTAGGTGATTTTTAACATTATGAAACGGTTGAACCACGGTTTCAACACAAATTACTCTACCTCCGATACGATTTCACAGTACTTGGGTTAAACTTAAACACCAATCAGGCATGTTCATGGGCTGATGAAAGATTCTTCCATCATAATATAGCTAAGGTGTTCAATTTAGGAGTTAGAAAATGGTGCTGTTTGCTTGATGAACAGGTGTATGCTACTGTCAGATCAAGCTAAGATGAAGCTGTTTGCTACAGATTTGTAAACAAACTAATAGCTGACGGTGCCTAACATTTTTTAAACCAATTCAGAACAAACCAATGAAGCAGTTTTCTTCCAATTGGCAACTTGGATCGAGTGACATCAGGAGCTTATCAGCATGAAACAGAAAGGTGGAAAACTATCATATCATTATAATGAAGAACATGACAAGGAAATAGCAACAGCAACACCGTCATCCTCAACAACAAAATTTGTGGCACAGAGAAATGAAGCTAAAGGTAATCAAGAACAGCAACGGCAAACTAATCATCTCACAATATCATCGAAAGGGTTGTTCTTTTTTTCTCCTCATTTCTGGATTCATCAGTCTACAAAGTAAAAAAAAAAATGTCTACAAAGAGAGGGAGTAACAGTAACTCCTCCAATTTCCCCCACCATGATCATCATAGATTCATTGTAATTTCCCCAACCCACAATATCTACAAGTAATATGCTTGTAATAAAGATTTAGATAATCCCCAAACCAATTCCATCACCATCAAAAACGATAAAAAGAGGAAGAAAAAGCACTAAACCAGAAGACAGGAAACTAGATGTAAACCATGGAGAAGAAGAAACTCATAGATAAGAAAAGTTCAGTTCTTCAATCAGAACCTCCCCAAGGATTTGGTTCCCGAGTATGATGCATTTGTTCTTCGTAGGTCTCTCTCTGTATTGAAGTTGTTATCCTCTTTGGAAATCAAGAACTGAGACAACATGCATTTTATCTTTCACTTAACCTCTGGCTTTCCCATTCCCAAGAGTGAGCTCAAGATCATCCAACCCTACCTCAGTGATCCTCTCACCTTCCCAAGGCTTCACCTGCTCGCCATTCCCAAACTCGAACTCCATCATCGCCCTCCCGTTCTCGACCATGATCGTGTCGTGAGAAAGACTCTGCTGGACCACCGGCGGCTTCACGAGGTTGTAAGTTGGTGATGTTGGCATTGCAGCAGCCAAGGCAGGGGCAAACTTCTGGAAGCTGATCCATTGCCCCGATTCAACCGTGGAAGTATCGGACACTTCATCACACTCGGGTATAGTAGCCGGCGGGGCAGCATGGAACTGCCGATGAGTCGGGCTGGCTGGTGCAGAGGCAGCATAGAACGGGTAGCTGAATGATGATGCCATGGATTGCCTTGCCATGATGGACTCCCAGGTGGGGATCGTAGGCTTGGGGTTTCGGGAAGTCGGGGAGGACAGTGGTGGGGTGACCGGGGCGCTGTTGGAGATTCGGAGTGGCGGGAGAGATGAAGGAATGGAGTTTCTTAGGAAAGGGAACATGGAGGAGGAAGATGGTGGGTGGTTGTTGTTTTCGGTTCTGGTTGGACTTGGGAAGGATGAAGATGAAGGGCTGACTTGGTAGGATGGAATGGGGCTTGGGAATGAAGATGACATTGGACTTGGGTTTTGAGATGAGTACGGAGTTACTCTCGTTGAAGTTCCTACTATGTCAAGTGGCGGAGGCCTGCATCCCTGGTTTTTTTCACACCCCAGAACAGAAAGATTAAGCAACATGATCAGCAACATAAACAAAAATTCAATTCAAAGCAATTGGGGAAAACCCCAGATCAAATCAAAGCTTTTCCTTTACCCTATTTTAAACCCATTTCCAAGACTGCAATTGCTGGAAATGGAAGCTGTAATTAAGCTGAAAGTAGTACTAGATCTTCCCTAAACCAGCTGAACTGACAAGGAAATGACTTGCTTTGACTGAGAAAAGAAGGGGGGAAAGGGAAAGATACCCATTTGTACAGAAATTGAGAGAAACGGAATGGAATTTAATCCAAACCCCATAAACAAGAACTCCTTCCACAAAGAAATCAAACTCAATTCAAAACCAGGATCCAGCTCAAAAAAAGGTGGGAAATTGAACCTACCCCAGCTACCAATTGACCACAAATTCGAGAACCCAATTCACCAGATCCAGGGGAGAAATCAGTACCTTGCGATAAGTCGTGCCGTCTTCTTCAACGACCCATCCAGCTTCCTGGCAGAGAGCCTTCAAGACCTCATTGTTGTCGCAGTGCTTGGGCAAATTGAAGTTCCCTTGTGCCCTGAGCCCAGTGAAGATCTTCGCGGCGATTGCCCTTCGCCGCCGCTCTCTCCTCCTGTTGTTCTCTCTCTCCCTCCAGGACGGCTTCCTCCTCGCCGCCGCCGCCGCAGCTGCTGCCGCCGCCGCCGACGTCGCCCCGTCGGACGTCATCCCTTTCTTCTTCTCCAACCGACGGCGTGGCCGACAGTGAAAGAACAAACTCTGCTCTGCTGGTAACCAGCTCAAAGCAGGGGAAAAGGCAACGGAAATCAGAACAGCGAGGGTTGTGTTGTCTGAAACAGAGAGAGTGAGGGGAGAAGGAAGAGTTGGTCACGAGGAATGCGCTTTGGTGTTGTTGTGGCTTGGCTGGAAGTGTAATGCACAGAGAAGAAGAATCTCTCTCTCGCTAGCTCAGAGAGAAGTGAGAGAAGAGAACAGAGGAAGAACAGGAAAAAGAAAGGCAAAATACACTTGTATAGCCATAACTTTCATGTTTTTGTCAATAATAGCCACTTTTGAAAAAATACACAAAATAGCCAATTTCGTCCAATACTTTAACGGCGTCATCTAACACGATGACTGGACTAACAGAAACGCTGACGTGGCGTCGGTACATTGCGATGTGGATTTAACTTTAAAAAATAAAAAATAAAATACACAAAGAAAAAAGAAAGCATACAAAAAATAAAAGAAAATAAATCCCCCCTGTATCCCTTATTCCTTCTTAATCTCCATCATAATCTCTTATCCCATCTTCCCCGCTGCTCTCTCTTAATCTTCTCCCTCATCTTTCTCTGATCCCTCTTCGACCAGTAGATGTCTTGGTTTGGTGGCGACTAGTTGCGTTGGGTCGACGAACTCCGACAACCCAGAGATTAGGGATTTTTGGTGGAGGAGGAAATAGGGATGGGTGGAATCGAAAGCGACGAACTGCTGCAGAGGAGGGATTAGGGATTTGCGGTCGAGGAGGAACGGCGAAATCAATATCAACTGCTCGGCTCCTGACCATGACGAACGGCGAGCCTTCCTTTCCTTCCCGGTCGACAATAACCACTGCACCTTCTCTCCTATAACCACCGCACTCCTCCCGATCTACGCACTCGCCCCCTAGAAATCCCTATTCCACCCTTAGTTTGTCCTCTCGCCATCCATCCCGCACCGCCGCATCTCTCCCTCAACGCCGCCAGGTCGTGATTCTTCCTCGATGTCTCAAATCCAGGGCCTAGACAGACAACAACGAAGGAGAATTGAGCGCCACGACAAGGAAGGAGAATCGAGCACCTCATCTGCTTCGACACGACCATGGTGCGCGACGGATCCGATTTCACCAGCAAGACGACGGATGCTGGAGACGAGTTCGCCGGTGTGTTTGATGAGATTCTTTTTGTTTTGATTTATGATGTTCTTACGGGATTGATGTCTAGAGACTAGAGATTGATACTCAGATTTTGTTTTTGTTTGGGTTTGGAAAGTTATGGAAGGCTGTAGAACTTGATTTTTTTGGGAAGAACAGATCCCCGCAGAGATACGAAAGAAAAGGAAAGGAAAGATAATCTTGGGAGAAAAATATTAATTATTAATAATTTTATTTTTATAATTGACATTAATTTTTTTATGAAAATACTTTATATATTAATTAAATGACACGTGTCATCTACGTGTCATTAATGAGTGAGTTGTTGTTGAGGTGGGCGCTGAGTTGGCATCTTAGTCAGCATTCTGTTTAGATAACTGACGGCCACACTAACACTGTTAAAGTTTGTAACGGAAGTGGCTAGATTTGTCATACGATAATTCAAATTGTGGCTATTTTGTGTATTTCTTCAAAAGTGGCTATTATTGTCACAAAGGTGAAAGTTTTGGCTATACATATGTATTTTGCCAAAAAGAAAAGAGAGGTCTGAAAAAGAAAAGGAAAAAAGAAAGCGTTTTTTTTTTTTAATTTGGGACACACTCACTGGCTGGGAGATGCCGGAAATGGTAGGGTGCAGGCGGGTGCAGGGGAAAGTCAGCCGTTGGAGTGCCATTTTTTATTGTGAGCCGTTTGATGATGATGGAAGTGGAGAAGATGATGAGATCAGTCGGTCTGAACTCTGAAGAGTGAAGAGTGAAGACTTAGGTGCCATTACCATGTGTGTGGTCCCAGTTCATTTTATTTTTAATTCTTAAAACTATTGTATAACGAAAAAAATAAATACAACGAAAAAAATAAGATACATTAACAACCGAAATTAACCTAGTATAGTTAAATACATGTATAGTTTGTTTGCTTTTTAATTAAAGATCGTTGGATTGTTTCGTTGAAATTGTTTGCTTCAATTTTATTTATATTTTTATGGCTTAATACTCTAGTTTGGCCTGAAGTTTGGTCACAATGACAATTTTGACTCGAATTTTTTAATAAGATAGTTATGGCCAACTTTTTAAATTAATGGACAAATTTGACATGAAATTTTCTTTGACCGTTAATATTGACAATCAAACACTTCTTCCGTTAGTGACTCAGCAAAAAATGCTGATGTGGTGCCATGTCATTATATAATTAAATTTTAATTTTTGTAATTCAATTGAAATAAAAAAAATTAACAAATTGAAAGAATCCCTCTTCTTATCCCAAAATCCAAATAAATTGCAAAGATAAAACCCTCTTCTTATCCCAAAATCCAAATCGAAAGAATCCCTCTTCTTATTCCATAATTTGGATAGCCTAAATCCAAATAAATTACAAATATAAAAAGTTCGAATCAACCAAATCTCCACGATAACGACATAGTGCAATGTAGTTTATAAATAGAGGAGGAGACATAACTTAACAAAATTAAAGTTTGATGCTTGAATTTCGTTGAATGAGGAGAATAGACGAGTGAACTGATAACACGAATTTGATAAGTGGATTGGATACTCAATCTGATTCGATATACTATGATCTGAACCAGATAAAATCAAAAGATCGATCAAACCATCTAATGATACAAATCATAGACCAAATCAAAAGAGATATGGGTGGTTTTGTTCGTGTAAGTAGTTTGTATAGTTGTATGATGGTCTGGCTTTGGTCTTTGAAACCACGCTGTTGGATTGGATAGGATAGGTTTCAGTACCTGCCTACCTGGATCAGGGCCCAATTCCCCCATGTCAAGCTACAAGTACAAGCTCTAGTAAAAATTCCTTTCCAAAATGACCACTTTTATGTTTGGTTCATTTTCACAATTTTTTTGAAAGGTCACAAAATGGTCAACTGAGCATCAATCAACATAGCCCAACGTTAAAATCGTCTCCTTTCATTGAATTTTCTCTCTCGTGGAATTGCTCACTGAATTGGCTTACTCACTAGATAGAGCGATCACAAAAGATGCACAGACTTACCTGTTTTTTAATTGAATCATTCACTTCATTCATCTATTCATGTGAATTCAACTCTTGACGTGATTTAAATCTTATACGAGCGTGAAAAGGGACAAATTTGAATAAGCAAGGTATAAAAGTCTATGCGTAACGAGGCCAAAAGAGCAAAAGAAAGCAGTCTGACTAGTTAATGTTGGATTATGTGCCAAATCTCTCATTGTTTTGCAAATCCCTAATCCAGATTAGCACCTCTGCTGTAAGAAAACAGAGACAACCCTCTGCAAACAAAGGGGAATCCCATTCACTTTGACGTTTGCAGTGGGAAGACAATGAAGTCAGAGCTGCCCAATACACAGACCCAAAAAAAAAAAAAGGCACAATCTTTACCCCATAATAAGAAGAAAAGAGAGTTGGGGAACGAAATGGAGAGAAAGGAAGAAGAAGAAGAAGAAAGTAATCATCTTTGGGGTTTCTCAGTCAAAAATGAATGGCGCCCCACTTCACATGATAGATCATATACTTTTCTTCTTCTTTGTTTTGTTGCCTTCTAGTGCTAGCTGATCTGATCATCGAATAATCTCTCAAAGTACGTGCACCATTACTGTATATATTAATCATAATCGGGAGTGTTTATAGACTATAGTTATAAAGGTAAATACTAAAGACTAAAGCGGAGAGAAAACATAGAAGTGTTCCATTTGCTAATGGCCAATCACAGGGAAGGAAGTCGAGGGTTATGTACTCAATTAGTAAACTCCATGCTTTAGTTTACCCATGAAGGTGATAGGCAACTCTTAGTTTGACTCCAACGGGAGAGCCATTTTCTCTTTTGTCGTTATTTATGGCGAGAATTGTCATTTGGTGCTCCAAAATTGGGGATGGAAATGGTTATTCCCTCGAAAATGGGGAGGGGGTGTGCTGGTGGGCAGGATGACTGCCAGCCCTCCACTTGGCATTTTAATTTTATTTTTAAGATTTTAGAGATTAATTAGGGGTTTAATTAGACCAATTATTTTCAAGTGTTGTGTGTAAAGAAAAATTAGGTTAATTATTTTTTGTCAAAAAAATTCAGTTTAGAAATTAAAAAAAATCTATTGGAATGAACAAAAATTAACATGAACAAATTATATTAAAATGATCATAAGTACAATTTTACATAAAAAAAACTAGAAAAAATGGAGGTCCCCAAATTTGGAGATGGTAACATTGAAGCAAAAATGATGAAAATGAGAATCATCCCTCCCCAAATTTGGGGAATAGCATTGGAGTTGGTCTTAACATGCTTTTGTAAGGGTCGTGTGATTGGTGCTAATATGTAATATGTTGATGACTTCAACTTGCGTAACGAAGCATGTATTACTCGCCACTTCGAAGATATCTTGGTTGGAAGTGAATCTTTATCGGTAGCACGAATTCATAAGTATATGCTAAAACAGTGTTTTGTTTCTGATCTAAACATGAATATTGTCATGTTTCTGGATCTGGAAAAGCATTCTTGGCTGATTCTGCTTGATATGGCATATTACAAGAGATGAACAAACCAGCTCAGTAAGCTTGTTGTTGACCCTACTTGTGCGTTGTGCTTCAAAAAGGACACCAGTTAGCAATGATCAGAAGCTAACACAACCTGTTAATAGGTTCACTTGCTTGGAATTGGATGAACTGAACTGCAATAATTGGTCAAACCCAACAAAGAAAAGTGACAACGATGGACCAGCAAAACTTGTTTCTGATAATGGGCTCTATTCTCTTTGTTCGTTTTTGTTTTTCTAAGGTTCCTCATTATTGTTTCTTTTGGTTCTACGTGGGTTTGGCTTTCCTTTCACGGTCCGCGTCCGGTCTTTGCATTTGACCGTATCTAATTGTTTGGGCCCGACTTGGACCGGCCTGCCCAACATCCACCCAATTGCCTCCCCTTCTTCTTCCTTCCTTGTCTCCCTCACCACGCCAATCTAATAATACAAAACATACAACCTATGATGTCTATCATCATCATTGCAGTACAACAGGATCCTCCTGCTTCAGCAGAAAATAATGGAAATCCTGAAAGTGTAGAGGCTCGTCCCCCACGAAGCCCACCCCGCCATCATCTCCCTCGCAAAAAGCTCGATGCATCGAGGAGGCCCAACGCCTGGCACGTACTTCTGCAGAAGCTCTGAAATGGAGTAGCAGATGAGATGATCAAGTTCCTTTCTTTCCAATTGTAACCATCTGTGCTGTGCGGGAAAACATTTGTAAATGAGATGAGGGTTACCTCCAACTGGTGGCTTTCTCGAGTAATCACCCGGGATGCTTATCACGACTTGATCTTCCATGGTTCCTCCCATTCCTGACGGCAGTTCACAACCACCTTCACCCTCTCTCTCTCTACATATATTATGATTCATGGACTGCATTAAAATGGAATGCTTGTGAGTTCAAGCCACATTGGCCTCTCACCTTAGTGTTGCAGTACGCCAAAAGAAGGCATTCATATGGCCTGTGATGAAATAGGTCCAAATCACTGGTCAATGATCCATCTGCTTTGACCTTCAACCAGAAAAGGCTAGCAGCATAAGTAACTCCCCATGAGGGGAACAACCCTTCCAGGACAAATTTTCTCAGTCTCTCCCTGTTGGTCACCCATAAGCCTAGGAGAGCCCCATCCGAATGGACGAGCTTCTTAATGGGAAGCCTCAGGAAGTACCGGTTAGGCAAAGTCGGGTACCTGAGAAAAAGGATTCACAAGCAACCACAGATAAAGCCCTCTGCTGACTCCTCATCTTGGCCAAAAGACCAGAACTTTGGAGGAAAAAGAGAGCATTTTGACAGTGTTGTCACAGTTACGCACATTAGTTTCTGATGAGCACTTGCGTTTTCCCATGGTGGATCGATCAGTATAAGATTGAAGCCGCTGCCAGAATCAGCTGCCACAAACCAGCAGAAGGGATTACATTGGTTTCTACTGACCATTGGGATATAAACCAAGACCTGGACATTCTTGGCATCAGCATTGTAGACCTCTAACCTAGTATTTGAACCGAATAAAAGAACTCAAAGAAAGCTACATTTCGGAGTTGTAGCACAATTACCAGGGATCAGGTTCTGAATCTTCCCCAGGTCTGACTTCAATCGTGCACGTAAAGCAAAATTGTAAGAGCTCAAGACTACAGAGCAAAACACAAAAGGATTCATCAATCATCATTAACATACCATGTAGAAGCAACTCTCTCGAGGTATCACATATTTCCTGCTCAGAAATTCAGCTTCTACTTCATCACCAGTCTCATTAACAACCAAATTGTTGAACACAGGAACCAATCCCTGGTCACAGCATTGATCAACAATGTTGCCTGAGAAAACCAAACAATGGATGGAGACAGACTGAATTTCACTCACTACACTAAGCATAACCCAAATTTGTTTTTTTCATTCTAACCTTCATTTTCGTTGCTCCGGCAAGATCGAGGAAACTTGAGGGCTATTTCGTAAAGGGGAGCTTGCCAGACTTTTCCAAGCTCAACAAACGAGGACTCTGTCTCGACGACCGCTGGCTTCCGGCGTTCCGCCATGGAAGAGGAATCGCAGCTTAAACTTCTCAGAATCCCCAAAAGCTCAGAAGCTCCAATTAAACACTCGTGCGCTTTCAACAACAGCGGCCGAGCTAGCTTCAGAACCGGAAATCGAAAATCAGCCCTAGAAATTAAAACGAAGCGTTGTTTTCAAATTAGAAGGCGATGGAATGTCATCAGCCAAAAATTTACCTGATGACGCTGGTCGGCGGCTTGTTCTCGCTCGTTCAACAGGGGAAGCTTCTTCTCCTTCCGCTTCCGCTTCTTTGAACTTGAAGAGAATTCAGTTTCACGGTGGGCGAAATCGGCGGCGAGATTGGAACTGAAGAAGCGGGAGTAGTATGTGGACGGCGAAACCCTAAATCGAGAATACGAGCGATTCAGGATGCGGACTGGGTCCATGAACACGACGGCGACGGCGCAGTTACTGAAGCGGTAAATGCCGGACTGGAAGAAGGCGGCTAGCTGATCGCTCGTTTCGGATTCCGCCATTTCTTCGCTTCCCGTCCGGCGTCGGTGGTTGAGGCTGGGGGAAAAATGACTCTCCCGGTTAGGTTTAGCCGTTGAAACGACAGCTCGCTACGCCGTGTTCAAAGGATTTTTCGGCCGTTTTGAATTTGTACGAATTAATGCTAATTCGGGCCCCTGAACTTTAACATATTTCTCAAATGAGCCCATAAACTTTGATTTTTGCCAAATAGTAAAGTTCGTACAATTTGTTGTTTAATATGGGCTTCAAATCTCATCTCGATCAGATAGGCCTATTGAGAGGATCTCGAAAATCAATAAATAACACCGACGTGATCTTCTATGGAATGGATGAATTGCTACCTGAAGTGAAGAGTGTAAAACAACATGGATATGGAATTGTCTGTGCCTAGTAGATACTAGGCGGTTTGTGGAGCTGGGGCGAGGCGCCTGTTCTTAGATGTCGAGAAGGACTCCTGATACTCTGCAAAACAACGGTCCGGGGCGGTTCGCCCGGGACACCCTCCGAAGCTTAAGTTAGAGAGAGAAGTGGTTGGGGCATTAAATGCTGGGTCGGGCGCCCTGTGTAGGCTTTTTGGGTAATGTCAGGCGTCCTGGGCAGGCTTTCAGCCTTTTTGCAGGCCGCCTGTGGCTGGCAATAAATGTTCAGTCTTGCCTGATACCAGATACGCATCTTCAACGGCTCCCTGCCCTTCTACGCTGCTCAGTTGCTTTATGTCAGGCGCCCTTATCTATTCCTCGGGTTCGCAGTCGATCATGGACCGCCCGCTGAACCAGTCTTCTGATCGGGCTCGACCTCCTTATTGGGCCTTAAAGTCCGATTCGCCTCTCTTGGGCCCGAGGCCCAAGTACGCTCAACTATGCGGCCCAACAATTGCCCCTTAGGCAGGAAAAGTCTAGGGTTTTGGCGGCTACCAATAATGCCCTCAGCTAGTTGAGCGGTTTGCTCCTCCTCCTTGTCCTATTCTGCCCCTGGTCGCCGGAGACCTAGGGTTGTCCTGCCTAAGCAGCGCTCCGACCGCCTTACGGGTTTTCCTGGCAGAAACACTTTATACACGTGGTTGTGCGTTGGTTTCCGTGCTCTGACACCGGGCAGGCAAAACGTCCTTTCGCCTGCCTGTTTTTGAATTTTGCGGCTTAAAGCTTCCCCTCGGGCACTTAACCGTCACATCAGTCCCTTCTGCTGCTATACATACTCCAAGTGTTTCTGTTGAGAAGAACCTTCGCATTCCCTCTTTCCTTGCTACTTATTTCAAAATTGCGCGGTGCTCTAAGTTCTCTCTCTCTCTCGTTATCTGGAGACTCATCCTTCGATTCCGGCGGAACGACATCAGTTTCTTTCTTCTCTAAGAAAATCCCAGAAACGAGACAAGAAGAGAAAGCAGTTGTCCGCAATGGTTTCTCAATCGACCAACCCTTCCGATAGCTAGAACCGCGGCCTTTCCGGCGAATCGGCGCCGCCGTCTGCTTCCGACGTCGCCACCAACACTCCTTCCGCTGCTGCGACGACCACCGTGTCCGGCACGGAGGCGGCCACTGCCACCGGCACCGTCGCCGCTCCTCGCGTCAGCGTTGGTCCTACGCGTACCGCCGCTAAGACCGTCAGTGCAGGCGGTCCTGCCCCTGGAGCAGGTATGCCCGCTTTTTCCCACTCTTTAAGTTTATCCGACATAGAATGGGATTTAGAGGGTATTGAATTGCTGTGTGGGGGTGGTAATGCGGTTGTCGCGGGCGAGCGTGTAGATAGACCTGACGGTTTCATTTTAGGGCTAGGAGTGGGCGTGCTAACCGACACGGCTACCTCCTTGATTGAGCGCGGAGCGACCTCTCGGGTTGGGGACAACCTGGTGGAGCTATCCTCTGAAAACGTGCCGGAAGACACGCCTTGTGACTCAGCCAGGGAGGACTCGGTCGCAGATTCTCCTTCGTTAGCTCTGTTAGAAACGCCGATGATTCATCCGTTCCAGGCGGTCGCGGATCGCGAGTACCGCGTGCGCCTGCATGCGGATATGTGGGAGGGAAGCGAGGTTCCTGATGCGGTTTACTCATACGGGCCCAAGTACAAGCCCGCTTACTCTCCTGCCCAAGTACTCCGTCAGCTTCATAGGCACCAGCTTCCTACTGACTGTGAGTATGCGGCTCCATCCCCCGAAGGGCGTTGCGGCTCTTGTCCCGTTGGGTGGATCACCATTTTTACGGAGCACATGCGGTTAGGGTTGGAGTTCCCGCTGGATCCACTTCTCACTGGGATACTTTTACACCTTAACTGTTCATTGAGTTGCCTTTCTCCCTCCATAGTATTTCATTCCATCTGCTATCGTGCGGCGTGCGCCCGCCTAAAAGAGGAACCGTCTCTCGACGTCTTTCGGCTGCTGTATGCCATGACCGGCTCGAAGAACTGCTGGTCACCCCGAAGGCGGTCGAAGAACGTTGGGTTCATTTATGGGTCCCCAAAGCTGGATTCCCCATGGTATAGTGAGTATTTCTCTGCTCGCCCGGCCGGGAAATGGTACTCGGGGGACGTGGAGCCATTGACCGCGTTCTCCTTTGGGCAGACAGATGATTAGGACGAAGGGGTCAAGTGGCTGCAGCATCTAAGACCGCACCTCAATCGCATCACTTCGACTGTCCTGTTTCGGTTGCCCCCGCATGGGCATGATAACTCCCTTGAGATTGTGCAGTGTTTTCACGGTTTGTTAGTTCTCCTAGACTTTGATGGGACGTAGCTTGCTCATGCCTTTACTTATGTATTCATTTTTCAGGTATCCGGCGTTACGCGTCCTCGGCGAGGCCGCCTAAGATAGCAACGAGCGGATCTCCTGCGGCCGCTGTCTCCAGTCCGACCGCTTCGGAGGGTTCGCGGACCGGGGGAGGGTCTACTCAGTCGCAGCTGGCGCTGGGGCGCACGGGGACCCTTAAGCTGACTGTCCCCAGCGGTCAGGGTACGGCTCGACTTGCGAACAAACGCCCGCTGGAGGTGGTGGAGGTACGGGATGAGCCGTCCGCGGGGAATCAGTCCAAGCTGAAGGGGATCTTGGTTGACCAGCGTTCTGAGCCGCCAGTCACCCAGAAAAAGCAGAAGACCACCACCCTTACCTCCAGTGCGGCGTACTCACCACATGTGACCTCTTCGGCTGAGCCAGCTCGCCGCGCCCTTCATGCGATTGCCGAGGGGTTCGCAGTTCCCAGCGAGTACATGCGCGTTGCGGGTGCTATCCCCACAACTTCTGATACTCGTCATCTGGCTGGGACGACCGCTCGATGCTTCTTTGCGGTGAGTGACTTAACTTATTTTCAGCTCCGCTATTCAATATGTGTATGGTACTGACCGGCTTTGTGGGTGTAGGCTCAATTCGGGATAAGCCAACTTATCCTGGCTAACGAGCGCCTGCTCGATGACTAGGGGGACCGCGAGACCAAAATCCTCACGCTCGAGGAGCAGGTGAAAGAGGGGCGCGAGGGTTTCCGCCGGGAGCTGCGAGATGAGATCCTCAAGGAGCACGAGGCGGCCATAAAAGCGAAGGATGACGAGCTGCAGACCGCCAGGGGGGATCTGTCGAAGTCAGCGCGGGAGCTGGAGGAGGCTCAACAGAAGGTGCGGGAGAAAGGGCTGCAGAGCAAGGTGGAAGAGTTGGAGACCCGGGTGGCTGACTTGGAAGCGCGGTGGGAACGGGAACTCCACGAGGCTAAGGAGGACGCTCGCGCAACCTTCTTTGATTCGGACGAGTTCAAGGCGGTGGATGAAGCCAAGTATCAGAAGTTGCTGCGGGATACGGTAGCTTTCATCCGCCACCTGTTCCGCCGCGAGCACCCGTATGTGTTGTGGGACCGGAATGCGGTCTGGGACGCGGTGGAGTTTTGGGGTGACAATGATGTCAACTCCGAGATGGAAAACCAGCCTGCGGCCGCTGCACCCACCACTGGGGAAGAAGTGAACCAGCCCGCTTCCGCTGAAGGCGGCTCCTCCTAGTTCAATCGGCAATTTTAACCAAGTGTTGTTTCCTTACTGCTTTTCTTGCTTTCTCCCCTCGGGGAGCTTGATACATTCCGCCTTCGGGCGAGGTTTTGGTAATATTTGTTTTGGATGGCGCTTGCACTTCTTCTTCTTACCCTCTGGATGTTTGGAAATCTTCACTTGCAAGTTTTATTGTCTGTGTTTCCTCCTTCTCTTCTTCTTTCGTTGGGGAATCACTTTGAAGGGAAGAGACGCCCCTTGGACTCCTGCCACCGGGGCGGCTTTGGTCCTTTTACTTACAAGCGCCTCGTATCGTTCGGGGGCGGTTTTTTAGCCTGTGAGGTGGGACTGCATTTGCAAGACCTTTGCTAAGTATTATGTTATACTTTCCACTCTGTGACATAGTTTCTGTCTGGGTTGGGGGGCATGGGCCCTTACTGTTCAAGTCAGGAACTTGGGAGAGTTTCCCGGATGTTGTGTGTGATACAAGGGCGGTTTAGGTAGTGACTTATTGTTCGATTTAGGAACTTGGGGACTTAGTTGGGCACGCTGCTATCGCTCTGGGGCGGTTTAGCCCCTAATATGGCGTTGCAGGCGGTTGTACGCGAGTGGTTAACGGCTATGTTAAGCGGCCGAGAGTTATGAGAATAACTTAGATCAGTAACATAAAAACATATCGCTCAGTGGCGACTTGAATTACTGAATTCATTGACAGGAGTGTTGACTACCACTCTAACAAAAGCGCCCTTGACCGCGGCGTTGACCTCTTACAAAATTCCTACGGCTTACTCCTCCTTACTCGCTATGGTACTTCCTTAGGTGAATAGCATTCCAAGTCTTGGCTACTGGTTGCCCCTCCATGGTAGCTAGCATGTATGTGGCGATCCCTATCTTCTCCGCTACTAGGAACGGTCCTTCCCATATGGCAGCCAGCTTGCCGTGCCCCTCTTTTTGCTCGAAATTCCTCTTGAGCACCATATCTCCTTCCTCAAGCGGGCGAGGCTTCACCTTCTCGTTGTAGATTTTGGCAACCTTGAGCTTTTCCTGTATGGTTCTCACCAGGGCCGCGTCTCTCCTTGCCTCTATCATGTCCAGCTGGTGAAGAAGCTTTTTGTGGTTTTCCTCTGGGTCGTATGTCTGGA